TTTCCACAAAAGAGGATGGACGAAGAAGGTATCTAATGGAGAGGTAAACCATAGTCTGAGGATACGTGGCTAGAGCACGAGGAGCTTCAGCGGATCGACCCAGATGCACTAGAGTTCTATGAGAGCACCAAAGACGCGTACTTGACGGAGTTGAGCTCTTTCCAACCCCGGTAGAATGGTGAGGACATCAGACCTTGGAGAGTCTACCAAAGGCGGGGCCGACGATCTACTACCATGATCGCACTGATCTACTTTTGATTATTATTTTATTAGTTTTATTATTGAATTATGTTTCATGAGTTTATTGTATTTTTTTTCCGTTTATGCCCTCGCTTAAGGGCCTAGTCCTATGTATGCCCTAAGGGCAATTGAGTCTTTTATATTTTGTTGTTGTTTTGGGCTATTTAAAGCCTTCCCCTCCTTCTTTGAGGGCTAATGAATATTATGATGAAAATTTCTGCATCCATGTGTTTGGAGAGAGCATAAGAGTTCTTGGAGAGATTGAAGTCCCTAAGTGAGGGCATCATAGTATCCACCAACCGCAGGAAGTGTCCGGGTTTGTAGTTGTCGTTTCTCCCCTTCGTCCGTCCCCCCCCCCTCTTAGCCGCCGGCCACCCATAACCCCACCACCTCTCTCAGCCAAACCCCACCTCCACTACAACCCAACCGGCCACCCTTCTCCCAACCCTAATTGCCAGCCCATATCAAAACCCTAACCTAGCATAGCCGCCGGCCATAGCTCTTCCCCCTTGCCTCTAAAATTCAAAACCTCCCATTACTACTTTCCTTTCTCCATCAAACCTCATTTGGAAGGCTTTGATTTCAATTATTCAATCAATTTTGAATTTTGAATTTTTTTCTAAAATATAATTATATTTTAGGAAAGTTCCCAAAATCTATTTGAATTTTAAATTAGATTGGAATTAAATTAATCCTTTCTAATTTAATATTCTAAATTAAGTAAGCCTTCATTTCTTTCCCACAAAGCCCCCTTTCCCTCCTCTTGAAGTTGCCGGCCCCCTCTCCCCACATTAACTCCCCTCCTTCTCAACACCTGAGTCAAGTCTCTCAATTAGGAATAATTTTCCTTTCCCTCTCCTTGCTTGGAATTCAAATTTCAAACCCTAATCCCCCTTCTATTCAAATATGAAATTCAATTTTAGATTTTTGGAAGAGGCTTTTCCTTCCTAATAGTGGCTGACCACCCACCTCCTCTCTCCACCATTGTCTTTGACTTGATACTTCTCCTAAGGAAGGAAGAGAGAAGAGATCACACCACTTTCCCTCCCACACCTTACAAACTTCTCTACTCATGCATGGCGAATCCAGAACGTGACCACGTATTCATTTATGACGACCAAGGCCACGTCGACATCCTCAACTCCCCTTTCTCCGACCTCAACCTTGAGGTTGACCAAACCGTGGAGGATTACGTGGAGAGGATCATCTTCACCCTCGCTGAATCTATTGAGGAGCAACTCTCTTTCGTCCAATGGCAGATTGTCTTCAAATCCTAAGCAAGGTGAATCTTTCCCCTAATCTTTTCCTACCTGATTCTTAATCCAACTTGTGGTTTTAATTGATTCACTACGATCATGTTAAACCTCTCTGCTAAGGCTAGTAAATTATAAGTGAGTGAAGGACTCTTCATAGTGAATAATCTCATTGTTAGCCTAGGGTTTTCTTGCCGGAAATATTTCATGTATGTTATATTTTGAATTATTGATTATTTTGAGATCCTAACCTCTAATCGTGTGACTTGGCCTAAGCTTGTCTCATCCCTTTTTTATTTTATTTCATCGTTTAATCACTACAAGTATTTTATTTAATAAAGCTCTTTAAATTAAATTGTGCAAAGTTCTTTTCTAACATTGCTTAAGCATTTTAGTCCTACATCAATTTCCTTGCTGTCTTTTCCTTTTCCTACTGTCTTCTCATTTTCTCTGTTGTGTTCTCGTTTTCCCTGCTGATTGTTTGAATTTTCTGTTGCTGTTTGGTCTTCCCATGTGGATGTTTGGTCTTCCCATGGTGGCTGTTTGGTTTACCCATTTAGCTGCTCGGTTTTCCTGGAGTTTTCTTGGTTTCCCTTCTGCTGGATGCCCGATTTCTTCCCCTTCTTGTTCCCTGTGCTGTTTGCTTTGACTTCTCCATGAGTAGGCTAATTTGGAGGGGTTTTAGTGGTTGTTTTGGTGGCACATTTATATGGGATAATAAATGACCTTCCCCCATTCTTTCTCCTATAAATTGAGGCTGAATTCCTTTGTGAAAAAAGTTTAGGAGGGTGTGATCATGTAAAAAAAACCCTGACGGTTTTCTTAACATGCGAGCTATCTTCTTCCTATCTTCTAATACTTCTTCTCAGATTTCTTTCTACTTCTCTCCATAGATTCCATTTCATCTGTATCATTCTTTTCTAAAATATTATGAAAACCTGAGGGTTTCTTATAAGCTTGCGAGCTGTCTTCTATCTTACCTCTACCAATTCGTCTCGGACTTCTTTCTACTTTTTCTCTCCACGGTTTCCCTTCCACTTGTATTTTTCTTCTCTAAACTATTATGAATAGTTAGTGGTGTTGTGTTCAGTTATAAATGGTATTAGTTGGTTTGTCCTATCCTTTGAGCACTTTCCTATATTGTGTTTGCATGTGAGATGACCATACATGGTTGTTCTAAGGGTATTTTTAATTTAGTTGTTTGGTTTCTTGTGCGTCTTACTAACTATTTTCTAAGCTTTGTTTCCTACTTAGTTTTCATCATTTTTGTTTGTTTATTTGATATTGAAAGTGTCTTACTTAGTTTGCATTCTTAGTGTTCTCCTACTCAGTTTTAAAACTTAGGTTGCATCATTTATTAAATACATTTATTGCTCATAACATAAATAAACTGAAGTAAGGGCTTCTGCAAAATAATAGAGAATCCATAACTAACAGCTAGAAGATAATGAAGAAAATGAGATTATTGACTTTCTAGTTCTTATGAAAGAGTCATTGAAGGAAGCTTCTTTGCCTCCATCGATGATGCTGTTCTTGTCGGATCTAATGTCACAACAGAAGCTCACGAAGCTCACTGTGAAGGTAGCGATCTTTCTCCCCTTTTGTATGCTTCTTCGACTAAATCCTGTAAATCCAATGAACTCATAGATTTAGTAAATCTGGGATTTAAGGCAACATAGAGAAGAAAATGTATTTAAGATTCTCTGCGATTTAAAGTTGTCATTTTTATTTTTTGACTAGATTTAGGCTATATATCCTGCCACATGGTTAAAACATAACTTTAAAGCTTATGGTAAGTTAAATCCCGTTTTTCCTCTATTTCCCTATAAATCTAAACTTAACTAAATCCCTCTATTCAGCAGACTTAAGTCCTTGACTCCCCTTTCCTCCCTTTCCTCATTGAGTTTATGCCATGAACTCCTTGCTTCTTTGCATGTTCTTGATTCTGTCGATGCCTTCCCCCAAAAATATCCCTTTCTCCTTCACATTTCCTCGGTCTTATCAATGCATTCCTTGGGCGAGCTCTGATCCCGGCTTCCTATTCTCCTTTACACTTCAGTGGTCTTGTCAAGGGCTTTTTCTATTGAGCTGCCATCACAACATCCGAATGCTTGATTTGTCATATAAGGTTTTGGGAAATTTGTTAGGTGCAAGGGGAAGAATCGGGTGGGAAAATTTAGTAGGTGGCTAGGTGCAAAGAGGAGAAGAGGGTTTTGTTTATTTACTCGAATAAGTTATCAATTTTGTGATGTATTTAAGTTTAATTAGTTTAATTAAACACTAATAAAATTAATTATTTTAATCAAAATTTTAACTGATTATTACTATAACTTTAAACAACTAGTTTTTAATTAATTGTACTCATAAATCATTTATTAATTAATTTAGGTCTAATTATCATAAATAAGCATTATTAAATCTTTAATGTTCTCATTATTTTATGTTTAATTCAAATTAGTCTAATTATTGAAATAATTCTGTCATTCTAATTAATTTTAATTATTTTCTATCAATAATTATAATTAAGTATTAATTTAATTATTTTTAAAATTAATTATTTTATAACTAATTAACCCACTCTTCATTCATTTAAATCCTACATATTAAAATTATGTTCCAAGCAACTTACCAAGATTTAGCCACATTTAACATCTATCATGTCAAATAATTTTTAGGATTTAAACTCAGGATTTACTAAATCTACATTATTTGACATGGTACATGTTGAAATTATGTTCCAAGCAACTTACCAAGATATAAAATTATAACTGCGTTAATATATTTATTTCATTTATAATTTTATTGTAAGAGTATTTATGTGCATATAACACTATTTTAAATATTTAAAAGTTATTTAATCAATATTACATATGGGGGATTATTAAATTAATTAATTTATTAAAAATTATGACTATAACTTTATTTGCAGCAAATTAAATAATTTAAAGTATAAGTAAATATAATTTAAAATATAAACATTTGTTTAATCAGAGCTATATTGATAGGTATAATATAATATAACATTTAAATTAAAATAACTTTTAACTTTTAAAATAGAAATATAATCCGCGGTTAGGACATGCAGTTTTTTTTATATATATTAAACATAATAAAAAATAAAAAATTGGAAAACAATTGATTTTGAACTGGCTCAAAATCTACTTGATTTTGACAGCCAATTTCAAGCTTGCTTGCATATGTTCGAACTTTGAGCAAAAATTGAGGATCGTCCTTATCCTAGAATTGACATGGCCTTTGATTACTTGATTCTAAACTGCAGACTTTTTGGGTCTTTTCACAAAACATTGCCAAACATGGCCCAGTTTTTCAGAACAAACTTGTTGGCTTACTGTGATGTAGCTAGCAGCTTAATTTTACAATGAAGAATATCACATACTGATTGCAGATATTTTATTAATGAATACATCATATTTATAAGAATGTTTCCATTTGCTTCTTTTTTGATTAAAACACTGGGTTTAGTTTTTGCTATATTTGTGCATTTAGATTGCATGGAAACATTGAATCCATGGTGATATTATCTTCCGGTGGAGATGAACGTAGCAAAAGGAGAGATTCAATACTGCTGTCATTCCAAGATGCGAAGATAACTGTGTTAGAATATGATGATGCAGCCCATGAATTGCGCACAAGGTAGGAAGATGATTTGCTTTTTTGTATCATCATTATGCTGGGATCGAAATGGATTCCTATTTGAAAAAAAATGAAATTTTATGTCCTGAGGGAAGTTTTATCTTTGAAAATATTGTGATATATTCATCAAGCTCCTCACTATTCTCAACAGCGACCTTCTAAGCTGATCAATTAATTTTCCTTATGAAGCAGTTGGTTCATAGAGTGTGCAACTTTTTTAGGTTTATTTTTCTTGCAGTTCAATGCACTGTTTTGAGGGGCCAGATTGGCATTACTTGAAAAGAGGCAGAGAGTCGTTTTCAAGGGGTCCGACCATGAAGATTGATCCTGTGGGCCGGTGTGTTGGAGCACTGGTGTACGATCTTCAGATGGTTATTATGAAAGCTGCTCAGGTGAATTGTACTTCTTGAGTGGGACTTCAATTTTTTAATGAGTCTACTGGGATCAATTTGTGGTCGCTGGTTCAACTGTATGTCAGTTTTCTGATCTGTTGTCATGCTTGATTTCAAAAAATATAATACACATGACTTGCTAAAGATGAATGGATTTGACTAAAGCAATTTATAAATTGCTTTCTGAATGCCCCTTGCTGTCCGTTTCACTTAAACTCACATCTCCAAGTAATTTTTTATAACTTGATAGATTCTAGTTCTATTTTGCAACTCGTGTAAAACCTATATGGCTGACTCCCTCTAATGAAAACTCCTTTGCAAGGTACCTAGTAGCATTAAATATCATTTTTTTGTCCAGTTATAACGTTTTCTCGGATTTTATTTTTTTAGTTATTCTTTTGGATGCTTTTAATTAAGATACTTAACTGTGGTTTTCTAACCAAAGGTTATTTGTGAATTTATAACCATATTCCTACTTCAGAGCTAGATTTATACATGATGCAATTCTTATGAAATTAAAGCTTCTGGTGGTATTATGGTCACTGTCTATGCAACATCTTCATGCTTAGGCTATCTTTAAAGTATATGTCCTGCAATGAAACAGTTGTTTGACAAACCTGTGGATAGCTATATAGTTATTCAGATTATGTTAACATCTCTATCCATTTGTTTGATTTGATTCTCTACAGTTATTGCGATTTTTCTTGCCATCCTTTAGTATTTTGGAGTAATATTTTGTTTCAATAGCGTGGTATGAATTGCTCCTAATACCACATTGGCCAAGCAGTGCTTTCCACTCCGGTAAGAAGTTGTGGTATTATTTCATAATCGATCAATGCTTGTACTTTGTTGATTTGTTAATTTTCTTATAATACTTTTGAGGAGTACATTCATCATTCAATATTTTTGAGCAATATTTTGTTTCAATCAAAAGGTATGATTTGCTCCGAATCCGACATTGACTGAGCAATGCTTTCCACTTTGGTTAGAAGTTGTGGTATTATTTCATAATTGATCAATGCCTGTACTCTGTTGGTTTGTTACTTTATTTTGTGATGTTGCTTTTGAGGACTACTGTCATCATTGATCCCCACATTTTCTGAGTTTATTTTGTATGTTTATGTAATTTAGGTAAATCGTTATTAACTATGATATCAATTGATTCCCTTGAAAATTTCAGTTTATTTGTGCTTAAGCTTAACCACTAATTTATTTTGTTAATAGGCAGGGCAAGGATTAGCTGTAGATGATGAGCCTTCTAATATGGGTGCAAGTGCTTCTGTTCGTATTGAGTCTTCTTACATTATAAACTTACGTGATTTAGACATGATGCATGTGAAAGATTTCACATTTATTCATGGTAAGTTGTCTGTTTCTCTCCATATATTAATTTAGACTGTTTTTGAACTGAATTCGTACTGTCTGCATATGTTACATTATTTCTCTGCGAAAATGAGTTTAGCATGAACCCCTGCATAGTTGTTAAAAGGCTCGTTCTCCTATTAATGTTAGTTTTTTGTATTTAATATCCAATTTGTTGTACGCTTATTTCTTTGTAAAAGTTATATTGTATTTTTTTTTCTTTTTTTTTTTGTGAACTTTATTGTTCATCAAACTTATTTTTTCTGTTTGAAAACTTTTGGTGCTTCTTTTGTTCTAATTCTGCTTGCTCCAAACACCTGAAACTTTGCTTGATGTTTTGCTTCTCAAGAACATGCCATACTACAATTTTGATTTCATTTTTAAACATAAAATGGTAATCAATAGCTCATGTATGTGCCCCACCTACTCTACGACTAGTGAAAAGCATTTGTGGAGGAACAACATCCTTCGTGAAAGTAGCGGTGACTATTTATTTGAGCCTAACTGATGGGGACATCAGATCATGGAAGGTTTATCAGAGGTGTGGTCACTGATCTACGGTCACGATTGAGTCATTGTATTTTTGATTTATTTCATGTATTTTCTTATTTACGATGTCGTATCGTGTTTGTTTTTATTTAGTTTTCCGTTGTACATTTTTATTAAGGGATGTCGTATGTAAGCTTTGAGGGTGTTGTCATCTTTTCTATTTTGAGTCTTATGTAAGAGGCTATTTAAGCCCCCCTATGTTTCTCTTTGGAAGTTAATGAATGAATGATCAAGTAAAATTTTCGTTTCTCTTGTTTGGCTTCTCATGAGAGCTTGAGACTTTGGAGTGAAATTCCTAGGAGAGGGAGAATTGCGTAGTACCCACCAATCTAGACGAGTCGGGTTCGTGGTTTTCTTTCCTATTTCTTTCCTTTCCCCTCTCACCACCACCAGCCATCATTGCATCCAAGCCCTTCTCCCTCCCCAAGCCATCTCCTCTTCCCGACCGAGCTTCACAAACATCCCAACTAGCTGCCAGCCCCCTTATCCGAATCCCCTCCACCCGCCGGCCCTAGCCCCCTTTCCTCTTTGATTTCCATTGCCTAATTTGGATTGGAATAATTGGGACAGATTTTGAATTCAAATTTAATCAATTTGAAATTTAAAATTTATTTTAGGAAAGTTTCTAAATTAACTCTATTTGAATTTCAAATTTAAATTGGAGTTAATTTAAATCTTTCCTTATTCCTAAACCCCAAGTAGGAAGCCCCAATCACTTTCCCCCAATCCCCTCCCAACCTCTTGATGCCGCCGGCCCCCCTTCAATAAATCCAATTGGATTTATTTCCAAACTCCCCCACCCTTCCCTATTTAATTCCGCTTGCTTTTGGAAAGTATTTGAATTTGAAATTAAATCCAATATAGATTTCAAATTTTCCTATTTCCTCTTAATCCTTTTTGGAAGGATCCTAATTTAAATCAATCAATCAACTCATGATGGATTGATTAAATTAAATCCATAATTCCAAATACATTGCATCTAGACACCCCCCCCACCCCCTATGGATTTTTTTCTCAAATTAAAGTTTCTCCTATTGGAATTAAAGTTCAAATTAATTCATAATCCCTCCAATTGAAAATCTGAAATTTATTTCAGATTTTTCACTTGTTCTTCCCTACTTAACCTACTACTCCTCCCCAACCCTCTTCCCTTGGCCAGCCACACCTTGTCATCCCACTTCAAGTTGAAGAGAAACTTCTTTCTCTTCAACAAAGTTCGAGATTACTAGCACCCCTTGTAGAAGATCACCATTTAGCATTCATGAATGGCCGATCCCAACACTGATTACGGACTTGCTTACGACGAACACGGTTGTGCACATTCTCCATCAACCTTCTTCGATGTCAACCCGAGGATCGACCACACGGTAGAAGACTACATAGAGCGTATCTTGGATACCTTGGTGGAAGCAATCGAAGAGCAATTGGAGATCGTCGAGTGGAGGATTGCAACCGATCCTTGACGAAGGTTTCCTAATCACTACCTTTCTTGTATTTTCTAAGTCTAATCTTTTCGTTGTGATATTGATTGTAATCTCGAAGGTCGCATCTACCTACTTCTACCAAGCTTAGTAAACGTAGGGATTTGGCACATTCATTTGTTTCCTAATCTCATTGTTAGACTAGGGATTTTTGTCGTTGAAAACCACTACGTTTTCATGATGTTATTTTCCTACATTATTTTGATGGTTTAAATCTCTTTATGTGCAATTTAGCCTAAGCGACAGTGACCGCTCTTACGTTTTAATTCTTCATTTTATCTGCTAATAGACCTATTTGTTATTGCTCTAATCAAAAGTAGTGCAAACTCTTCATAAATTTATTGCAAGCATTGTAGTCCTACATCACTAACTTCACAAAGCACATCACAACATTTCCAAATAATGTCCGAGGCTTTATTTGCTATATATTACTTATGTTTTGCTAAAGAAAAAGGATTTGATTTGTATTAGGAATATAGTTTGGAAATCCCCACTCATGCGGGTGATCTCTTTATACTTTATGTGCATCAGGGACACACTTATGGAGCATCCTGTCCATCTATATTAGATTATAACTATTTCATGTAAACCTGCAACAACGCAACCACAGCCCCACATCAATAATCAAAGCTAAGTAATTTTATAACATAGATATTCAATATTCATTTCCTATTTCATCCTTCTAGGATTTCAATGCAAAGTGCAAACTTACCATTTTTATTTCCAACACATTCAATTTGGTTAGTGTGCCCAGGAGTTAGTTCCATGCAACTCAACTGCTCTTATTGCCACGTATTGAATTCTTCTTTTAGGGGCTGTTTGGTTACCTGCAAAGCAAACGCAATGTAAAGTAAATGCAGTGTAAAGTAAATGCAGTGCATTCCAAATACTTTGAGGTTGTTTGGTTGTCTGTAAAGTAAACGCAGGAGAAATGTTTCCCTTGTTTGGTTAGATATATCCAAAGTAAAGTAATAACAGTGCATTTGTAATATTTTTTTTGTCATTATTACTAGTGCATTTATAAAAGTAATCACCGATTGTTTAAACTTTGTTTGGGCTAGCTTTCTTCTTGCTTTCTAAAACAGCTTTTTAGTACAAAAATTAACTAAAAAACCGTTGTAAAAAATAATATGAAAGATGTTCCAAACGAAGCCTTCCAAAACTCTCAAAACCGAGCAAAGTGAGTTATGCGGCATGGATATTTTTACATGCCAACCAATATTTTGTAGTTTCTAAATGCAGGCAAAGCCAAATCTCAATCCACAAAAAAAGACAGATGTAAATTGGCGCTCACTAAGGCTTTCGTTTGGGTCGGCTTCATACTACTTCTAAAAACAACTTTGTAGTAACAAAATAAAACTTTTATACTAAAATACTGGTTTAAGAAGCAACAAGAAACCCAACAACTACTTCATCTCAATCATTAATAACACAAGCACGAGCAATTTGTTGTTGAATTAGTAAGTAAATCAAACCATACAAAAAACTGGTTTAAAAGATATAAGAACTAACACATCTTATTCAGTTCTAAAATCTGATAAAGTTAAAGGCATAACAATGAAAGGAAATACACCTAATACGCACTAAACAGGAAACAACATATACATGATATCAGTTTTTCAAAATTAAATATTTGGTAGAGCTGGTAAGGAACAAAAAACGAAAAATCTCATAAATTGAAGCCAAAGAGGGACCATCTGCTGCTTGAATGTATCCCTCTCGCATGTGATTACATACACCTCATTTATGAAACATAACTAGGGATTGACAGTAAACAACAGCACATAACTGTTCATATTACATAGACCATCCTCTGCCAAATGCTGCAAAATCAAAACAGACAGATACATAAAAAAGTTGATTACAATTACAAAAGATCAGTACAGTTAGAAATTGAAGCATCAGTTACTTCCTAGTTCTTGAAGCACAGCCTCCATTGTTGGTCTCTGGCCTGGAATCTCACTTGTGCATATCAATGCAATTCCTGCCAGCTTCTCTGCATCTGGAATGGAGAAGCACTTGCTGATTTTCTTGTCGATGACGTAGTCAAGTTGGCCGGAGTCTGAATTCCAGCCGTATAGTATCTCCCCTCACCGGCCATGGCAGGAAATAGCTGGGTTGTCGTTGCGGTGCCAGAGTGAAGGTCGATTCCCGATAGGCACACCTCAGCTGCTAGGGTTTGCTGCCGCTTACCTGTCTGCAAACAGATGGACGGCTTACCAATCACTGTATTGCAGGAAATGATAGCCATTTCTAAAAAAGTTATGAATGTTTGGATTACCGGCTTCCATGAGATGTGATGGCATAAAATTTGGAGCGTTGTACAACCTTCCACGATGCGCGACAAACACATATGGGATGCCTTCGGCTGAGAAAGTCTTTTGCGCCACCTTGAGTGCCGGCAAAGTTCTACCGCAGCCAGGCGTGTTTTTGAAACCCGCTCAATTTGAGCGGGTTTTGAAGTCGCGCAAAAGGCCGGTCGCAATACACCCCTAATACTTCGGGGGAATTCCTTATGTTCCGCTCAAAATCAACCAAACGACCAAATCTAAAAAATGCAGGTAAATTATTTACTTTACATTCCTAATTCAGCAAACCAAACAGCCCCTTAGTCCGTTCTTTGCTCATCTTATAGTTATTGGAGTGGCCTCTCTCCATCGTAAAAACCTAATTTTTAGTTATTAGTTCTATCCTCTTTTATATCCATATTCTTTGATGTACACCGCCAAAGTATCTCAATTTATCAAGCATATGCATCATGTATTCACTATTGCTTTCAAAACCACTACGGGTTAGTAATTGAAATGTGGTGGGCCTTTATATATCTGAGATGAATGGAGCCACTAACATGTCCGGAAGCTGAAATTGATTTGGAAGAGCTTCTAACTGGAAGATTAAAAGAAGAATATAAAGAAAAAAATATCAAAACAGACGTTGGTTAATTAAATGGATGCGAATTACGGCTTTATATGGGAATGAATGAAGAAGAGGGAATCACTCCATTTTTTTGTCTTTTTAATTGTTGTTCTATGTGATTGCACGGTTCTGATTCAATATTTTTTTTCACTATGCAAATGATATTGGAAAATGATATTCAGTAGTAGAACTATTGCATTTTATGGATCTAATTGCTTTTTTACCTTTTCCTCTGCATGAGTAATTCCGTAAGCATCTCTATCCGACCATCTCATGCAGGGTACATAGAACCTGTCATGGTTATACTTCAGGAAAAGGAACCAACATGGGCTGGGCGTATCACATGGAAGCATCACACGTGTATGATATCAGCATTAAGTATTAGCACAACATTGAAGCAGCATCCACTAATTTGGTCTGCTGCTGTAAGTTGCATCTCTTTGTTATGTGAATCATGATATTAGTATGTGCGTAACATGTGCAAACGTTAAAAGCTTTGGGGTGTAAATTTACTTCTGATTATGTTCATACATAAGTTCGTGTGCTGATAAATCTGAGCTACTTTAGTTCCTTGGGTAATCATTATGCTAAGGTTTATATGATGGTGGCTTTCATGGGAATTATAGCAAACAGAGTTCTTGAACACTCTCATTGAATTCATTCAAAATTTTGTTTCAAATTTTTTTTACACCCTATCACATTGTTAAATACTTTTCTAATTTTGAATGAATGTTAAAATGCTGTCAGGAATAGTGGGAATAAATTTGATGGTGATCATGTCATTTTTAATTATTCTTGGAAACAATTTTTTTGTAAAATGAGAATGGCTCTGTTAATTTTTTTTTAAATTTTAAAAATTCTCTTATCTTAACAATGAACATAGATATCAGTTGTCATTTTAGTCATCCTTGGTGCTAGCGCTTTGGTTTGAGCAAGATGCCATTTGAGAGCCCCCTTTCCTATTAATTCCTTCAAAAGTAATTGTGCCTTCAAGTGCCTTGTTAGCACCTTTGCTTATAATTGGAGATTCATGAAAATCCCTTTTTAATCTTCAGCAATCTAGAATCATTTCTTTCTGTTATTAAGATTTGTGTGGCAAAACTACTATGGAAAGATTTTTAAAGAAATATATTGGGGAGAAATTGAAGATAAAGTTGTAGAGAATAGAGTCAGATGGTTTGGGCTTGTAACTGAGGGTAGAAAATGCACTGGTAAGAGAAATAGATATAATTAAAATGTATGAATATGGAAGAAAAATGGATGGTCTTGAGGTAACATAACTAGAAGCTATGTAAAAATATTTGTACAAAGTAAAGTTAATTTCACATGTAGCATACAAAATGGATGAATTGGCGAGGATCATATAACCAACCCCTATACTTGGGATAAGGCTAGATTATGATTGATAGATATATTTGCGTGGAATCTATGGTACATGTTGTTAAGCTATCGATGTGTTACTCGAATATCTTTAATTTTCTTTTTCTTTTTGATTGTCAATTTTGATAATTTATGAGCACTAATATCTAGTTTTTCGCATTGTTTTCTCTTCGTTCATCATAAAGGAGAATATCATAAAGGAGAATATATTACCCATCTCCTTTATGTTTTTTCTACTTTTATCGTGTCTTTACTCATTTTTTGTTTGAATAATGGGGATTGTTTGAATTTCACTATTTTGCTTTTTTTTGTAGTAGTAATTGAGATGTTCATGATATTTGTTTTTATGCATAACCAAATAGAATTATTTGCAATATTATTCTTAATAATTTTTTTTAATGTGAAGAACCTGGACCTACTCTCCAACCTAGAGTAGCTCAGTGCAAAAATAAAATAAATCCTTGCTCATACATAGGTTTGTACGAAATGAGCCATGTTCATTGCTCCAGCCCAGAATATGATGGGTTTAGGGTTTTAAATAATAGATTAGATACTAAGGAGGACGAAAGATATATGTATAGGTTTGCTAAACAAAGAGATAAGAGTAGTAATGATTTAATTCAAGTGAAGTATATTAAGGATGAAGATAAAAAAGTGCTTTTATTAAAAAAGGATATTCAACCAAGGCGGATGAGATATTTTGCTAATCTTTTTAATGAAGATTATGATAATTCAATCGACTTAGTGATCTAAGCACCCTAAATGAAAATAAAGATTTTTATTTTTATTGGCGTTATAGTAAAACCAAAGTTAATGAGGCTTTAAAGAAAATGAAGTGTGAAAAAGTTGTTGGACCTAATGATATTCCAATAGTGGTGTTGAAATTCTTAGGAGATGAAGGAATTTCTTGGCTTACTAAACTATTTAATATTATTTTGAAGGCTAAAAAGATGCCAGATGAGTGGAGAATGAGTGTGTTGATTTATATTTTTAAGAATAAAGGTGATACACAGGATTGTGTGAATTATAAAAGAAATAAGTTAATGTGTCATACTTTAAAATCATGAGAGAGGAGTTATGGAACATAGGTTGCGGCGTGGCACTGTTGTTTCTCAAAATCAATTTGGATTCATGCCAGGTAGGTCTACTATGGAAGCTATACATTTATTGAGAGGTTTGATGGAAAAGTATAGAGAGAATAAGGAGGATCTACATACGATTTTTATTGATTTATAGAAAGCATATGATAAAGTTCCAAGAGAAGTGCTATGGAGAATTCTACATTAGGAAAGGGTTCAGAATGCTTATATTTAAGTCATTAAGGATATGTATGCAGGTGCTGTTACTTGTGTTCAAACACAAGGTGGCTTGACCAAGTATTTTCCTATTTCAGTTGGACTACATCAAGGATTAGCCTTAAGCCCATATCTTTTTTCTTTAGTCATGGATGTTCTCACTAGACATTTGCAAAGAGGTTGTACCTTGGTGTATGCTTTTTACTGGTGATATTCTACTTGTTGATAAGTCTAAAGAGGGAGTTGAAGGTAAACTTGAATTATGGAGGTCAACCTTAAAGTCTAAAAGTTTTCGTTTGAGTAGATCTAAAACTGAATATATGTAGTGTAATTTTAGTAATAATAGATCTAGTGGGGGATTGTGACTTTGGGGGATCAAGTCATTAATAAGAGCACACATTTTAGATATCTTGAGTCTATTATTCTAAGTGATGGTGAAATAGATGGAGATATTATTAGTAGAATTCAAGTTGGATGGATGAAGTGGAGGAATGCATCGAGCTTGTTGTGTGATTGAAAAGTCCCTCTCAAACTTAAGGGAAAATTCTATAAGATGGTAGTGAGACTTGCAATGCATAATGGTGCAGAATGTTGGCCATTAAAAGAGAAGCATAATATTAAGTTAAGTGTTGTAGAGATGAGGATGCTCAGGTGGATGAGTGGATTTACTCTTAAAGAGAGATACGAAATGAGCGTATACCTGACAAGGTTGGAGTAGCTCTAGTGGAAGATAAAATTAGAGAGAGTCGCCTTAGATGGTTTGGTCACATAAAATGACGGCCTTCCGATGACTCGGTTAGGGAAGTAGATGTATTAGATTTGACTTATTTTAAGAAAGGTAGAGGTAGATCTAAAAAGACTTGGTTAGGCAATATTAGAAATGACCTTTCTTTATTAGATTTAGATGTGAATTTGACCCTTAACATGACAAAATAGAGGAAAATGATTCATGTAGCCGACCCCACATTTTTTGTGGGATAAAGGCTTGTTAAAGAATTCTCTCTATGGCTTGACTTTATAAATGTTATTTGTATATATTACTTGAATATACTACAAATTTGAATGTCTTTATTTGTAATTTTTATTTTTACAAACCTTGTGCTCTTGATTTGAAGTCATTGTAGATGTCAATTTATTTATTTATGATCCTCATTAAGATTGTATTTATATTTCTTTCTTTTGAAATTCTTCTTTTTGAGAAGATGGGAGCCTTCCATCTTAGTCTCTTTTACCTTAGGTTTTTGTGAGTTTTAGCTTTATCATTGTTCTTTGTACCATAATATTTATGTTTATTTCCATTCTTTTATAATTATTGTTTTTTTCCTAATAATTACATTCTTTATATTTTTCCATGTCTATAAATGTGAATTAGCATTTTTTTTCTAAAAAAGTATTTTAATAGAACAAATAGTCATGTAGTTTAAATTTAAAAAAGTGACCTTTTCATGCTATGTCAAAATAAATGACTTCCATGTTCTGTCTCAGAAATTCTTTAAACACAAGATCAGCTTTTGCAAAGTTGGGGGTTTTAGTACAAGTTGTTGAGGTTAAATTAGGGATACAAATGAACCGAGCTGTGTTGAGTAGGAGCTTGTTTGCAAAAATCGAGCTGGTGCTCGATAGAAGTGTTTGTAGTAGTGCTTAGCTATGGTTTGAGATCGGCTCATTAGCTAATCAAATGAGTCTATTAATGAGCAACTCTATCGAGTAGTTTATTAGTCATATGAACAAACCTATCGAGCTTATTAATGTAAATGCATAAATAAGTAGTTTGTGTTCTTGAACAAAAATAATCCAACATAGAAAAAAACAACAGCACTACAAAATCACATGTTAGATAAATTTGTATTTAACTATTATATAAGCATATTGTCAAGTTTTAGTTGAGCTTCTTAACTAGTTTTTTAATGAGTTTCAAATGATGCTTGTTCAATTAGTTAATTAAATGATCATGATTGAATTTTAATCGAGCCAAATCACAAGTAACTTGTTGAGTGTATTGATCCATTTGTAGCCCTAGGCTAAATAAACTGTGATAAATAAGGATTTGAAAGCGCCCCATCCACAAGAGGCAGTTTTCCCACACTGAAATGGGCTAGCGGAGTCGGCAGTTTAAATTTAAAACCTTGTTAAGTGGCCTAGCCTTGTCTGCAAAAAATGTATGATTTTATCTATCTTGTTAAGGATGCCTGATTTTTATTTGGATCATATATCCTAATGTCATATGATATTAGTATCATATCATATGTTTTGCTTTCTTTCTTGGATTAGTATCTTTCTTTTTCGGTTTCCTGCATGTCTCTGTTTACTATTGTTGAGCTCATAATCTTGTTTGGTAATGGGATGGAATACTTAGTTTCCATTTTTGGTGCTTTTTATTCGTTTGGTATTATTTTTGATTGGAACTTGCAATCCTTTTGCTCTTAGAGTTGGAAGCTTTTGCATAAAGGAGTAGCGTTTCATTTATTTAATCAACATTGCAGAAGGTTTTTCTTCATTTGAGCTACTTTTTATTTATGTTTTCTTTTGAATTGTCTCATTTATCTCAGAATCTTCCGCATGATGCTTACAAGCTCCTTCCAGTTCCTTCTCCCATTGGTGGTGTGCTAGTGATCTGTGCTAATAGCATTCACTATCATAGTCAGGTGATTTAAATCTTTTGTAGTGTATTCTGTTGGTTGATTGGGTATAATTCAGGTTCCACATTTTACCTGCTTTTGTGTGGCGTCCTCATGAATTTTTAATTGTAATTTGCAGTCTGTATCTTGCTCACTCGGTCTTAATAGTTTCTGTGCTCAGCTGGAAAACAGGTTTTCTTGTTTTATTTCTTTAATGCATTGTTTATCTAATTCCTTCTTAGGTATGTTGTTGACCAATGTATAACATATGGCATTTTCGTTTCAAATTTATGTGTTCCTATTGGTATTGTATGGTATATGATATAATGCCTTAGAGAGATGGTGATAATTTATTGTCAAAGCTGGTTTGATTAGTAGTGTGGCTGACTGTCGGAAATTTTTATTTATTGTGCTGTAAATAATAAATAGCTGTGAAAGTATTTTGACCTTTCTGAAATGTATCATGGTAAAAGAGCAGCTAGTGCGATTGTTTATTATGGGAAGTAAAGTTGCTGAGTTTAAAAAAATGGCAATTTATCATCTGTTGCATGTTCAGAATAATTTCATTTATCATACTTTTTATTAAACTTATCCCAACTATCTGAACTTATTTCTGTGAATCCTTATTTTCCATATATTCTTGTTGCATGCTACTTGAGGTGTTATACCTAATTTTTGTAGGATGTTACCTTTGGTCTTCATCTACTTCCTAATCCTTTGAAACACATTTATATGTTTGTCTGGCGGATGTGTTTTATGACATTCGTGATACTTGTTCAATAGATATACTCCAACTGTTCTTCTAATATAATCTTTACTTTATTTATTATTCATAATTTCTCACATAAATTTTAATATATATATATATATATATAATCTCAACTTAGATATCAACGACCTTTTTGCTATGTAACACTCAAATTCATACAAAATTGTTAATTTAGTTGCGATTTGTAAGTCTCTGATAACTTCTTCTTGCATGATTCTCGAGAAGCACTTCTCCATTTCAATCACCAGTCAACTCTAGAAGTTATATCATTGTCCAGATTCTCATTTTTTCTATAATAGATCAAGTTATTGCACCTATGAAATATTTTATTTTCTAATAATATTGATTGATAATTTATAATATCGCACCATTAAAATTGCATATCATGTATTAATTAGAAACACTATATTTTGAACATTCTCTCTATTCTTATTTGCTTTTTAATTAGTTCAGTGGATGTCTTATAGTCACAGCCACACCAAGATGGAGAAAGGGTGAATTGGGTGTGCATTAGGGCACTTTGGACTTCTTTCAAAATTCACCAATTCAAACCATCACAAATAATATACTAGCGGATGCTATATATATAGCAATCAAATGCAAAAAATGTAACACACAATCAATTGTAAAACTATAGGATAATTGATTTGAAATGAGCTTGTGGTGATGTAATTCGGGCTTCTTTTGAAATCCAATAATTTAAACCCTTAGATCGAGTATATTAACTTAAACTATAAATATAGCAATTTGTTGAAAAACATGTTGAGATAAAAAAGTATATATTTTATAGGGGATACATATAGCCCAATTAGTGGCCTTAAAATAGAAAGAAATAAAAACGGACTAATGGAAATAATGGGAAAAAATAAGCACAAATCCAGGGTATTCAAATCGGGAATAAGTTACTAACATAATATAGAAAATCAAGATTCTTGATTTGAACTAGCGGGGTGGGATTTCCTTGTATGGATTTTGCGGTATAGATGGTATGACAACTGTTAGAGGAATTTTTGGATTGATAATTGTTAGGAAATTACCAAAATTTCTGAAGTACTAGGTTCCACCCCGGAGATTTCTGAAAATTGATCTTGAATCGCTGGAGTGCAGGCTTCACATTAGATCTTCTTGAAATGATTCTTGGATTTTGCTGGATTGCTTGGCATAGCCTTGAAGGCTTCCAGAAATAGATACAAGATTTCCACACTCAAGCTTGTAATGTATGTTAATCAAAGCTAGCTTGAAAATAAGAGTCTCTAATTGTTTTGATTAACAGCTTTAGCGGCTATTTGGTCTTCTGAAAAGTAATGCATAATGAACTAGAATATAGTGTAAAAGAAATACAATATATTTAAAATATTTTTTGTTGTTTGGATGAAGGTAAAAAAAATGCAGGTGATTATTTTTTTTGTTTGGTTTGAAGTAAAATGAATGTAATATAAAGCTCAACGATGGTGTGGTTGGTGGCTGATGGCCGGCATCGAGTGGTGGGAGGTGTCCAGTGATAACGACGGCGGGCGGCAAGAGGAGTGTCAGATTGTAGTGTATTTAGAATTTGGTCAAAAATAGGCTAGGTTTGAATATATAAAAAATGAACTACGGAGTGAATTTATACTTAATCAAAATTTTACTCTTCCTTTCTTTTTCATCAATCCAAAACCAAAATTCTCTAAACCATTACATTTTTGAATACTTTGCACTCACTTTTCATCAAACCAAATATCCCCTAGTAAATATATCAACAATTTGATATCATATTGGAGTGTATCTCATCTTGATAAGTTCAATTTTTCTCCTTTATTGAGTGTTTATCAATCTCAACCAATGCTTTAAAAACCGGATCGGACCGGCCGGTTCAATCGTGAACCGGTCACAAGACCGGTCCGGTTCAATCTTAAAACCGCTTCTGCATTGAACCGGTCAGAACCGCCGAACCAGCCCGGTTATGTTTGAACTGGCCGGTTCAAATCATACAAATTTTAAATATTTTTTTAAATAAATAAATTAATATATATTTAAAACATTTGATTAAAGTTATAATATATTTTTTATTATAAACAATTTTGCCCTCAAACCATCATGAAACATTTTCACATGACACCTTCATGTGAGCTCTGTATGCAAGGAAAGTAAAAAGGCTATATAAACAATAACAAGAAAGGGTTTCTAAGGGATGTGGGACTAAAGAAAAGAGTTGAAGAGTATGAGTTCATAGTATATATAATGGCTATAAAACATATGTTTAAACAAATTTTTTAATTAATTATTTTTGATGTGAAAGATAATTATTTATTGGTTAATAATAAAAATTTATTTAATTTTACTTAATTATATAAGTTTTATGTTTCATAATTTTTTTTTAGTTTAATTTTTTATCTCATACTTTGAATGATAATATTATTATTATGTTAATTTTATTAAATTTAAATAATGCTTATTATTTATTACATCATCCGGTTCGACCCTGGTTAGACCGGTCGAATCGTGAACCTTTCCTTCTTCCGGTTCGTTGTCCGGTCCGATTTTTTGAACCTTGATCTCAACATTACTTCTTCGTATCATGAACGGGTTTCTTAGTAATGCTAATTGTAGCTATATTATCATTCATCATCATCATCATTAATTCTATGGTTTAAACTTTTTGTTCTTCAAGAAGTCATTTAAACCATATTGCTTTGTAAATTTCATCAACCATGACTTTGAGTTTCACTTCAGCCCTATTTCTAGCCACAACATATTATTTTTTTACTTATCCAAATGACTAAAATTTTATATTTAAATGAACAATAACTAGATTTGGATTTATGATCAGTGATAGATTATATCCAATCAGCTTTAGTGAATATTTCAAAACTCCTGTTTATTTCTTTCTCAAAGAATAGACCTTCTCATTGCAACCTTTTAAGATATCTTAGTGTCATGTGTATGACTTCAAGGTGTTCCGTTGTGGTTTTATTTATGTATTGACTATCTAATCATAAATTGGCATCATACGTGAGTTCTAATGTGAGAAAGGTAGATTAGCTTTTGTACTAATTGGTTGTATATACCTTTGCCAACATGTGTTGTATAATTGTTGGACCCAATGTTATTGAGAGAATTCTTTAGAATGTTAACATGTTTGCAACCGGTCATATTGGTTTCTTTTAGTAGGTCCATACTTCATAGTATATTTTTGTTGGGCGATCGATACATGCTTCTTTGTAGGGCTACAAACGAACCGAGCCGAGCCGAGCTTAGACATGTTCATGTTCGAGCTCGTTTGACCAGACCATGTTCAAGCTCGGTTCGAAATTTGCCGAGCTTTTTTGTTCGCTGTTCGAGTTCGCGTTCGTTAAGATATACACTGTTCGAGTTCAGTTCGCGTTCATGTTCAAGCTCAAGCTCGTTTATTAAGCTTGACGAGCCTCTAATCGAGCCGCTTGTTAACTCTTATCGAGCGGTTAACGAGCCGAGCAAGACATAAAACAATTTATATTAATATATATTCATTAAACCGAGAAGCTCGCCGTCCAACCAGCCAGCAAATCCGAACAGGCCGATCCCGCCCCAGCCCGCAGTGCTTAGATTGGCTCAAAGATGCTTTGATTTTATAAAACACAACTAGTTACCTCTAGGCGGTGTGGTACTAAATCCCCTACAGGTTTTTTTTTAAGTTGTTGACTTGTTGATGCCACGGAAGAGAGAGAGAGAGAGAGAGAGAGAGAATCAGGCGTGAATAAGATAATAAAAAAATGAGAGTGTGGGCGGGAGGAGTTTTTTTTTTTAATTTTTGAGTGGGAATATTTGGGTCGGAGCATTAATAGTTATATCTTAATGAAGAGAGAGAGAGAGAGAGAGAGAGAGAGAGAGAGAGAGAGAGAGAGAGAGAGATGTTAGTTTAAAACTTTTAAATTAAAAAAAAAAGTGAACCTTTCATGCTATGTCCAAAATTAAATGGCTTCCATGTTCTGCCTCCAGAAATTTCTTTAACACAAGATCAGCTTTTGCCAAAGTTGGGGGTTATTAGTAAAGTTGTGAGGTTAAATTAGGGATACAAATTGAACCGAGTGTGTTGAGTAGGAGCTTGTTTGCAAAAATCGAGCTGGTGCTCGATAGAAGTGTTTGTAGTAGTGCTTAAGCTATGGTTTGAGACGGCTCATTAGCTAATCAAATGAGTCTATTAATGAGCAAAACTCTATCGAGTAGTTTTATTAGTCATATGAACAAACCTTATTCGAGCTTATTAATGTAAATGCATAAATAAGTTAGTTTTGTGTTCTTTTGAACAAAATAATCCAACATACGAAAAAAACAACAGCACCACAAATCAACAAATATTAGATAAATTTGTTATTTAACTATTATATAAGCAATTGTCAAGTTTTAGTTGAGCTTCTTAAAACTAGTTTTTTTTAATGATTTTCAAATGATGCTTGTTCAATTA